CCCCAAAACCCCAAAACCCCAAAACCCCAAAACCCCTCAAATGGCAAATGAAATTGAAATATTAAATATTGACGATGGAGTAGGTAGAAATCATGTCTAAAAATTAAGAATTCTTTGCAATTGCTCCATTTTTGCATATTTCAAATATTTTTCAATAAAATAACCCCAGAGTTGCTTAAATACTTATAGGAGCAGGCTACAACTAAGTCGTAGTAGGACCAGAGAGAATACAGGTTTGCAAAAAGTATTGGACAAGATGAGAGAAACGATGCCAAATTTCTATAAAAAGGGACCAGGCTTTGCCTCACCAACTAATGATCCTAAATTTGAAGACTCCAGTAAGCAAATCCCTTCATGATCTCAATTGGATATCAGCATTTGATGTGTGGATTTAATGCGCTATAGCCCCTAAACCTCAGGGCTCCTTTTTCTACAGTTCAAAGTATGGAAACATCTAATTTTTTAGGAAAAATCATTCAAGAAATAACCTCCGAGCAAAGCTAGGAGCCTCAAATAGGAATTTTAACAGAACAGTTATTAACTTCAAGCCTAATAATTGGAACAAGAGAGCTTTTAAAGAAAGAAGATTTGGAGATTTGAAGAACTTTACATCAAAGAGAAGGAAGAATAGTGCTGAAAAGCAACAAACTATGGTGTTAATCAAGAACAAAGGTATTTTTCTCAGAAATTTTTGTATAATTATAAAATTACAGGTTTTGATAACCCTTTGCAAGCATTCACCACATTGAGGGAGAATAAATAAGGTACTTTGTTCCTAACGGTTAGGCATTTAAATTGATATCTATAATGTCAGGATGGAAGCCTGAGAGAGGACAAACTTTCAGTACCCCAACGGCTAGGTCAGATACTGCAGACAATAGCAAACAAAGTCTTTCTATGCCAAGGATCAGACTCAATAAAATAATTTTGAATAAGGACAGCAAGAAGGAACCAAATAAGAAATCGCATCGGAAAACTCAGCAAAATCAAGTAAATAATGTTTGGGCCCAAGCAGAAATCCTTCAGAGAAGAAGTATGAGCTGTTTTAACCTTTAGTCTTAGTGGAAGAAGGAAGGGTTCTAGGAAAGTGCGAAGCTCACATCGATGATCTCAGTACTCCTCTTACTCGTAGTAGATCCTCAATGGTCTCTTATAGCAACCTTGTGTACCTCTTTGGTGGAATCTCACATAAAGTGTGAAATGATCTCAGAGTTTTTGATTTTGAGTCCTCTTCTTGGAAACCAGAATCAGAAACCCACGAAGAAGAGAAGATAAACAGAAAGTATCATGAGGATTCATCAGATATGCTAATTATTAATTATAAGGGCTTCACTCCTGAGGCTAGGTTCGGACACTCCTTAATCAGGTATAAGGACACTCTCCTTTTGTATGGTGGTGAAAATAAATATGATAAAATCAGAAAAAGAAGGGATCTCTACCACGGAATAATCCTCTATGATCTCAACACTGGGCTCTGGGCTGAAGCATCTTGTAAAGATTCCATCATTGAAGGGAGAAAGCATCATGCAGCTGGAGTATTCGGCAATAATATGATCATTCATGGAGGCTATAACTCAGGGAACAACATAGTCGATGAATTAGTGTGATATAACATCGAAGAGTCTTGCTTTGTGGCATTTGATATCATCAAGAACTCTTTAGGCAAACTTGCAGGGCACAGCTTCACAAGTATGTCCCCTAACCAAATCATATGTGAATTGAATCGTTTAGGTGACCGCCAGCAGATGTTCTGTTTTGGAGGAATTGATCAGGATGGAGAGACTAATAACTGCATTAGATCTTTTGAGATTTCAAGGTCTGGTGAGTATCCTAGGACTGCGAGGTGGGATATAGTCGAGACTGCAGGAAAGCAGCCAGCAGCTAGGTACATGCATTCAATGGGGTATATGGAGGAGAGCGAGTCTTTGGTACTGTTTGGCGGGTTACAGGCTCGTACACCTGATTTTTATGGGAGAAATTTGACCAAGGATTTTGGAGGTTATTATCTCAGAGATCTCTGGCTGTTTCATGTTCCTATGTGACAGTGGTGAGAAGTTAGACTGGAGGGAGATACCTTAGAGGGAAGGTATTCTCATTGAAGCGCTGTGTATCGAAACAAAATTGTTATATTTGGAGGACTTAGCCAGTCTGGACTCAGTAAAAGAGTTACGTAAGTGCATTTCTAAACTTCTTTTAGTCATTTGATTGAACTAGAGAATACGCATTATTAATTTCTAGCAGTTCAATATCTATGAATTTATTAGGGGTTTTGGGGTTTTGGGGTTTTGGGGTTTTGGGGTTTTGGGGTTTTGGGGTTTTGGGG